CTCTATTGTTATTTCCCAGTTTGGTTTGTCAGTGGTTTGGGTGCTTTTTATATTAGACTATTTCACAAATTGGTCTCCCTTTGGCAAGTGGTCAACCCCAATTCAAACAGCTGTGGCTACACAGAGTCAGGGTCATATGGAACAAAACTTGGCCATCTCAAGTGCTTCACCAGTTATGATCTGCGGGCAGGACAGTTTAAGTCAGGCAGGAGACTGAGCAGAGGTGAAATAGGGTAATGACTAGGAGATTGAACACCCACCAAGGGGGATTACAATACCTACAGGAGAAAGAAATAGGCAATATTTAATTAATTGATCTTGTCTGTTGAGAGGTCTTTATAATAAGATCATGTGGGGGAGAGCAGGAACACAGAGTTAAGGATGATGTAGGGTGGGGTTAGGGCTTCCCAGTGGCGCTAGTGGTAAAGAACCTGCCTGCCTAATGCAGGAGATGTAACAGACATCAGTTTGATCCCTGGGTGAGGAAGATATGGAGGCGGGCATGGCAACCCACTCCAGTATTCTTGCCTGGAGAATTCCACAGACAGAGGAGCCTGGAAGGCTACAGTTCATAGTGTAACACAGTCGGACACAACTAAAGCGACTTAGCACGCACGCAGGGTCGGATTAGGTGGGAGTGACATTGCATAAAAACCTTACAGAAGAGGAATGGAAAGTCTCTAAATTACCTGCAAAGGGTCTTCTGAGTCAGTAATTGAGATTGTCTGTAGAAGTTAAGGGCTACTAGTTGCTTGATCACATTTAGATTAGAAAGGAATGGGAAGTCAGTCTCAAGAGACCACATATAATTCTTTTTATATAAAATATCCAGAATAGACAAACCCATAGGAAAAGCAAGATTTGTAGTTGCCTAAGACTGGAGTGGGATCACTCCAGTTAGAAGAAATGGAGTAGCCATCATGGTCAATAAAAGAGTCCAAAATGCAGTACTTGGATGCAATCTCAAAAATGACAAAATGATCTCTGTTCATTTCCAAGGCAAACCATTCAATAGCACGGTAATCCAAGCCTATGCCCCAACCAGTAAGGCTGAAGAAGCTGAAGTTGAACGGTTCTATGAAGACCTACAAGACCTTTTAGAACTAACACCCAAAACAGATATCCTTTTCATTATAGGGGACTGGGATGCAAAAGTAGGAAGTCAAGAAACACCTGGAGTAACAGGCACATTTGGCCTTGGAGTACGGAATGAAGCAGGGCAAGGGCTAATAGGGTTTTGTCAAGAGAACGCACTGGTCATAGCAAACACACTCTTCCAACAACACAAGAGAAGGCTCTACACATGGACATCACAAGATGGTCAACACTGAAATCAGATTGATTATATTGTTTGCAGCCAAAGATGGAGAAGCTCTATACAGTCAGCAAATACAAGACCAGGAACTGACTATGGCTCAGATCATGAGCTCCTTATTGCCAAATTCAGACTTAAATTGAAGAACATAGGGAAAACCACTAGACCATTCGTGTACGACCTAATTCAAATCCCTTATGACTATACAGTGGAAGTGAGAAATAGATTTTAGGGACTAGATCTGATAGACAGCCTGATGAACTATGGACAGAGGTTCATGACATTGTACAGGAGACAGGGATCAAGACCATCCCCATGGAAAAGAAATGCAAAAAGGAAAATGGTTGTCTGAGGAGGCCTTACAAATAGCTGTGAAAAGAAGGGAAGTGAAAAGCAAAGGAGAAAAGGAAAGATATTCCCATTTGAATGCAGAGTTCCAAAGAATAGCAAGGAGAGATAAGGAAGCCTTCCTCAGCAATCAATGCAAAGAAATAGAGGAAAACAATAGAATGGGAAAGACTAGAGATCTTTTCAAGAAAATTAGAGATACCAAGGGAGCATTTCACCAAAAGATGAGTTCAATAAAGGACAGAAATGGTATGGACCTAACAGAAGCAGAAGATATCAGGAAGAGGTGGCAAGAATACACAGAAGAACTGTACAAAAAAGATCTTNCATTAAGTATGTGAATTTTATAGTATATGTTATGGGGGGATGAAAATCTTCTGAAATTATTGTGAATAGTTCCACAGTTATGTGAATATACTAAAAACCATTTAGTTGTACACATTAAGTATGTGAATTTTATAGTATATGTTATGGGGGGATGAAAATCTTCTGAAATTATTGTGAATAGTTCCACAGTTATGTGAATATACTAAAAACCATTTAGTTGTACACATTAAGTATGTGAATTTTATAGTATATGTTATGGGGGGATGAAAATCTTCTGAAATTATTGTGAATAGTTCCACAGTTATGTGAATATACTAAAAACCATTTAGTTGTACACATTAAGTATGTGAATTTTATAGTATATGTTATGGGGGGATGAAAATCTTCTGAAATTATTGTGAATAGTTCCACAGTTATGTGAATATACTAAAAACCATTTAGTTGTACACATTAAGTATGTGAATTTTATAGTATATGTTATGGGGGGATGAAAATCTTCTGAAATTATTGTGAATAGTTCCACAGTTATGTGAATATACTAAAAACCATTTAGTTGTACACATTAAGTATGTGAATTTTATAGTATATGTTATGGGGGGATGAAAATCTTCTGAAATTATTGTGAATAGTTCCACAGTTATGTGAATATACTAAAAACCATTTAGTTGTACACATTAAGTATGTGAATTTTATAGTATATGTTATGGGGGGATGAAAATCTTCTGAAATTATTGTGAATAGTTCCACAGTTATGTGAATATACTAAAAACCATTTAGTTGTACACATTAAGTATGTGAATTTTATAGTATATGTTATGGGGGGATGAAAATCTTCTGAAATTATTGTGAATAGTTCCACAGTTATGTGAATATACTAAAAACCATTTAGTTGTACACATTAAGTATGTGAATTTTATAGTATATGTTATGGGGGGATGAAAATCTTCTGAAATTATTGTGAATAGTTCCACAGTTATGTGAATATACTAAAAACCATTTAGTTGTACACATTAAGTATGTGAATTTTATAGTATATGTTATGGGGGGATGAAAATCTTCTGAAATTATTGTGAATAGTTCCACAGTTATGTGAATATACTAAAAACCATTTAGTTGTACACATTAAGTATGTGAATTTTATAGTATATGTGTTATATTTCAATAAAGCTGTTAAAAGGGCCAATAGGAGCTTCTGATTGAATTCCAATATCTTTGTCTTGAAACATTTATTTTGTTCCTGGACCATGAAAAGCTGTAATTATTAATATAAAAGATAGTGATACGAAAGGTCTGCAGTATGCAGTGTCATTGTTACCTATAAGCTGTAAAGAAAGCTAAAAAAATAACCAGTTAATCAAGTCTGAGCTTTTGAAGTATATGTAAATACAAGTAAATCAATACATCTACTGAGTCTACTGAGATTTAACCATAAACCAACATCTAAATTTTTGTCAAGTACAAATAACATCCTCTTCACTAAAAAAATAAGTATCTGGTGTCAAGGGATAGGATTTTACTTAAATGATAGTTAAACAAATTCAAGCAATCCGCCATGTTGGTTGCTTAATTTTAAAGTAGTTTCCAGGGACTTGCCTGGTGGTCCAGTGGCTAAGACTCCACACTCCCAATACAGGGGACCCAGGTTCAATCCTTGGTCAGGGAAGTAGACCCCACATGCCGTAAGTAAGAGTTCACATGTCACGACTCAAGATCCCTCATGCCAAAACTAAGACCTGGGGCAAGCAAACAAATAAATAGATTAAAAGTAAATAAAGTCATTCCCCAAAGAATTATAGCACAATTGTTAGCCTAGTGAAGTTTGGAAAGTGTTGATGAAATATCTAGCGTACTGCCAAGAGCAATAAAATAGAAATTGACACGTGAAGTTGCTCAGTCCTATGCGACTCTTTGCGATTCCATGGACTGTAGCCTACCAGACTCCTCTGTCCATGGCATTTTCCAGGCAAGAGTACTGGAGTGGGTTGCCATTTCCTTCTCCAGGGGATCTTTTTGACCCAGAGATCGAACCCAGCTCTCCTGCATTGCGGGCAAATGCTTTACCCTCTGAGCCACCAGGGAAGCCCAACAGGACACGTGGGTGCCCCTTACTCATTGTAACCTAGCTAACTCATTCTTTGAGCTTATTTCCTCGTTTATAAAATGGGGATAATCATATTGAGTCTGCCAACCCTGAAGGTTGGGGAGGATCAGATGAGCTAGGATGTGAAAATACTTCAAGTTAAAATGTCATGCAGATGTGTGATATTTGTTATCATTAAGCTGCATGCCATTTAGTTATTAATAACCTAATTCCCATCATGATGGATCAACAGGTCACAGTCTGCAAAAATATTCCCTCCTTGCTGCCTAAATTGCTATTTGCATTCACAGTAGACTCCTTAAAAGCTTGTTTTGAAGCCATCAGAGTGTGTGGCTATCAGTTTAATATCTTCAAGAACATTGTTCCTAGAAATGTTGCAGCAAATGCCCTTGAAAAGCTCACTTCCAAATATGAAACAGGCTTATAGGTTAAAACTGGGCATGGGACCAGCCAAGAGATGAGGGCTGGTAAATAACATTGCCATCTTATCACTGAAGGTTAAAAAGGGACCTCCAATCTCAAATTATAAGATGTTTGGAACGCATTACATTTTGTCAACCAAATAAAGAAAATGAAGTTTAATTTCCCAAATTTTATTAAAAATGGACTCTGTCATCAGATATCTTACTGCAAAGATGAAATCTCACAACAGGGCAGTAAAGTTTGCTGTAATAACAAGATTTAAATAAATATAAATTCTTTCTGCAGTTCTTGAACTCATGAAGATTTTGTTATATAAAAAAAAAGTTTTATTTCCGTGAGTCATGGGCAAACATTTCCCTAGAATTTCTATTTATCGAAATAACTTTTAAAGTTGTTAGGGTTAGTGGGGGTGAGGGAGTGGAGATGGGAGCAGAGAGGATGTGGTGCTCATAAAAGCCTTTGAAAAATTAGAAAAACAATTCCTAGTCCATTTCTTTAAACCTTTATTATATTTTTTTGAGGTAAAAACAGTGCTCTTTTGATGTAAAAACTGCCATTTTCCCCCTAAATACTCAGTCTGTTCTTTACTTTGTACCTGAAAAGAATTACAATAATTCGCTCAACCAACCATAATAGGCCCACAGCAGATAAAATGCTAAATCGAAAAAGAAACTTTAAAATATATTCTATAACATACATTTGGTTATGGCGACCTGAACTGGAAATTTTCTTAGATCAAATTTCTCCTTCGGAGGCACTTTTGGTTTTAGAAAGTGCTGAGGTAAAGGTCTAGGAGAAAAATAGGTCTATGTGGCAATCCTTTCCAACTGAAAATATTTTTATAGTTAACAAGCAAAACTGAATATGACAAAAATACCCTAAATACAGTCGCAATTCCATTATCATTTTCCTGGCAAGCTTCCCCCTGGCATTTTTGCGTACACATAGGAGTCAGTCTTGGTTGGCAATGGGGGTGAAATAATAGCACTACTTATTTTTTTGTTCAGCTTTATGAGAGCTAAACAGATGTGTGCCCAGTGGTATAAGTATTCGATGGCAGCATTACCAAATTTCCATACTTCGATTCGAGAATGATCTGTACCAAAAAAAAAAAAAGTGTTAGTTTTGTACTTTTATTACTAAAATATATTTTAATACTAATATATAAGAAAAATTATGACAAAAGCTCATTAGATATATTTTGAGTCAAAACCATAGCAGAATCTTGTTTATGTAATTATAGGAAAATGGATACATTAATTTTGGTATATTCATATAATGGTTGAGACCCAGGGCTCAAACCTGGGTCTCCTGCATTCCAAGTGAGTTCTTTACCATCTGAGCCACCAGGGAAGCCCCTATAATGGAACCCTACGCAGCATTTAACAAAGAACTAGAGCTACATATGTCATTGTGAATATCTCAAAGCCTTATTGTTGAGGGAACTTCCCTGGTGGTCCAGTAGCTAAGACTCCTAGCTCCCAATGCAAGGGGCCTGAGTTCCATCCCTGGTCAAGGAATTAGATCCCACACGCCACAACTAAGACTCAGCAGTAACTATGTTTTTAAAAACATATTGTTGAAAAAATAAAAACTTATTGTTGAGAACAAAAAGTAAGTTGTATAATAATATGTTCTTTTGGATACATTTAAAAACAATTTTAAAACCTGCAAAATAATATTATATTGTTTATGGATTCATGGGCATGTAGTAAAAGTAGAAATCATGCATGAAACTGATAAACACCAAATTCATAATAGTATTAGCTCTAGAGAGGAGAAGAAGAGGATGAGATATGGGAGGAGCATAGAAATTCTCAACTGTTCCTGTAATGTTTCTTTTTTTAAAAAAAGTCTGGCTCAAAAACATATTAAAAATATGACTCCATAATGACTGCACAGGTATTAGTTTCTAACCTCTATGTTTGAAATATTTCCTAATTAAAAATTATTTTTAAAGCTATGATCACTGCACACTGAAATATTTCATTTGTTAAACTGCAAACTATTTTTGAAAAATTCCTTTTGGGACTTCCCTGGTGGTACAGTGGTTAGGAGTCCACCTGCCATGCAAGGGACATGGTTTCCATCCCTGGTCCAGGAAGATTCCACATGCCACGGAGCAACTAGAGTCCAGGAGCAACAACTACTGAAGCCCACGTGCCTGCAGCCGGTGCTCCGAAACAAGAGAAATCACTGCAGTGAGAAGTCTGTGCACCTCAACAAAGAGTATCCCCTACTCACCAAAACTGGAAAAAGCCCACGCACAGCAAGGAAGACCGGGACAACAAAGAATAAATAAATTTTTTTAAAAAATGACTTTTTCTCAGGAGTCAGTCAGTCAATGACTATTCAAATAGAATGGTCCAATGGAAAGAGAATATACTTAAACAGATCTGGACTCTAATCTTGGCTCTACTCCAACTAGTTTTGTGACCTTGAAAAGTCACTTAATTGCCTTGAGCCTGTTTCTTCTTCCACAAAACAGATACCTCAGAATTGTTATGGGGATTAAAGAGGAAAGACATGCAAAAATCTGTCAAAGAGTAGTTGCTCAAAAAAATATCTTCATTCTTTCAGATCCCTTCTACCCTCAAGTCTGTGTTTTACTTTTTTGTTACTTCTAGTGGCTAATACAGTTCCTAACCCAATAAATGTTTATTGATTTGACTTGAATCAAACCATTACATGGTATTTATAACCAAATAAGAGGGCTTCCCAAGTGGTGCAGTGGTAAAGAATCCACCTGCCAATTTCAGAGATGCAAGAGACATGGGTTCGATCCCTGGGTAGGGAAGATCCTTGAGTAGGAAATGGTAACCCCTCCAGTATTCTTGCCTGGAAAATTCCATGGACAGAGGAGTCTGGTGTGCTACAGTCCATGGGGTCGCAAAGAGTCAGACACGACTGAGCACACATGTATACACATAATGGATTAAGAGATTTTAAATACTGTCTTCTATCCAGTAGCTCATTAATAATGATGATAATTATGTCACTCATGGTTGTCCATTAGGGTGACAAAACAGAACATATTTCCTTGTCATGAAGGAACAAGTTTCCCTGAATTAGGTTAAGATTTCTATGGTTCTCAAGGTATCACTACCACAAAAGGTACAATGTGGAACAGGAAAGGCACATAAAATATGGAAAACATACTCAAATCTCAATTTTTATTTGATGTTCACTGTATAAAACATATGAGTACAATTTTCTAGAGTTTCCTCTTTTAACACACACACAGAAGCACTGTTTTTTTCCTCAATTGTGTTTAATAAATGTTGATTGAAACAATATTAAATTGTGGAATAATTAAGTTAGGCTTTTCAAATATTGAAGTCTTTTCAGATTATAGCTCAGTAACATTAGTGACAATTATGAATAAAATTGAAAGCAGATGTCAGACATGAGAGCACCTAAAAAAATACCTGATTCATATCATATGAGTAACACTAGACCAATTAACATACATACTTAAAATATTGAGATGCATTTGTTATAATTGATCCCTTTTTGTATTAATTAACTTCCTGGAAGCTTTAAAAGTTAATGCTATAGGCTGAAAAAATTACTTTATCATTATGTCCCAATGTTACAACTCTAAATTAAAGTACACCCTAGAACACTTCTAAAACAAGTCCTAACTAATTTTTTGAGATATAACGGCTCTGCTGCTCCCCACAGCCTTTATTCTGCCTTTTCCAAATCCCCATTAAGAGCTCTGTTGCACTGACGCCTACCAGTGTTCTTATCTGACATCCAAATGAACAGACCCCTATCTGCAGCCCTTATTAAGCTAGTAGGCCATCTCCATGGTGATTTAAGGACTCGAGGATGGGGAGCGAAGTCGCTCCATTTCACAAGCCCCTGTTGCTTATTTCCTGTCTTATTGTTACTGGGGACAGAAGCTCCGAACCTGTCTGGGTGAAGGTTCCTGTTTCCCTGCCCTGTTCCACTGAGAGATTTATGCCTTAAAAACTGGCTGTAACGATTCCTCTATTGAAGGAAGCCTCCATCGGTCCGCGGGTTTCCCATTAACAACGGTTGAGTGTTACTGCCCTCTTGTGGTGGATAGATGCCAGCTCTTTGCATTTCAGCAGAGAGCCAGTGTGCACAGATTGAGTTAATTCTTCCTTGGTAAAGGTTATAGTAAATTATTTGAATATATCTGAGTTTAAAAAAAATTGCTGGCTCAACCTTTGAATCTGTTTATGAACCTATTAATTCAGAAACATTTTATGTTTTTTTTTAGATTCCAGCTTAATCAAACTTTTAATTATATAGCAAATTCATTTTGCTGAAAACATTGGGTCATTTTAAGATATTTCTAATTAAAATTCCATTTTATGAATCTCTGCTTTAACATTAGATTAAGTTAAAAGCTTTGGGAATGACAGACAATTAGAAAGATGTGCGAAGCAAAAAAGAATGAAGTTCTTAAGCTTCAAGTTCAAAGTTAATGTGAAGCTGCTCCTTTCAACTAACAACTAACCCAAGATCAGTGAGCAGTATTTCTTTTTTTTTTTTTTTAATTTTTCATTTATTTACTTATTTTTTGGCTGTGCTGGGTCTTTGCTGCTGCTTGGGCTTTCCTCTAGTTGCAGTGAGCTGAGACTACTCTCTAGCTGGGCACGCACGCTTCTCATTGCAGTGGCTTCTCTTGTTGCAGAGCAGTCTCAATAGTTGTGGCGCATGGGCTTAGCCACTCCCTGGCACGTGTAATTTTCCCAGATCAGGGACTGAACCCATGTCTTCTACACTGGCAGGTGGACTCTATACCACTGAGCCACCAGGGAAGCTCTAAGCAGTATTTATTGAATGCTCTTCTCTTCATCATTAGTTCTCTTAATTTTAGTTCTTTTATTTCTACTGTTTGACATACCCTCTACCACCTCTTAACATTACTGCCACATACAATGAGCTGAAGGTCCATGCAACATCATACTTAAAAGGGTATATGTGTGTTAGTTTCAATCAGTTTTTTTGTAAGTAGGAGAATTCTTATTTTCCATGACAGTCAGGGACTTAATATGTCACTAATTTACTGTGGTCCTGAAGGTACTGCAGAGTGCTGCTTCTAGTTTATTGCGTAAGAGTTCGTGTTAAATGAGGAGGTAACACCAAATTTTTTCCTGAGTTATCAAACCTTGGGTAGAAGTTTGTTCCAGGCCAAACTGAGTTCTTGCAAATATATTAGTCTTATTCCAGTTGAAGCATTTCTATACAGTATCACATTGTATTGACTTTTTTTCATGATGTAGTTATAAATCAAATTATGTATGAACTGAAATAAATGCAATTTATCTTTACAAAAATTCATACTTCTGTACAGTGGCTTCCAAACTCTTTGACTATGTACCTCTGTAAGTTAACAAATGTAAAAGCTTGAGAGAATGTCTCAAAAAGTGGAACAAAGAAGATGGAAAAGAGGAGAGAAACTATAGGGATTTTGGAGGCTGAATCTAGGATTTCCCATGTCTGAATAATAGGAGTTCCAAAGAAGGAACACAGAAAAGGGAGGGCAGGGCCTCCTCTAACCCCTAGGTCATTTTTGTGTGAATGGATGAATGCACACTGTGAGCACACAGCTTGGTGAACAGAAAAAAGTGTGTGAAGAAGGAGATGCCCCTCTTCCAAGCAGACATAACTGTAAGCTGAAGCACACAGTTTCATGAATGGAACCCTAGTTAGATCTCAGCGCCCCACCCCCTCAGCAGGGTACATTTGTGCAGTACACAAACTGCACAGCCATGAGCAGCAACCTTAATGTCAGGGAGGAAATCATTAGGATGTAGGGACCTGCGTTTCACAACTGAAAAGGCCCAAGGAGTGTTCAGATCAATGGACGAAAATAGACCTGCATGGATAAGAACGTGTGGTATATATACACAATAGAATATTACTGAGCTATAATAAAGAACTCATTTGAGTCAGTTCTAATGAGGTGGATGAAACTGGAGCCTATTATACAGAGTGAATAAGTCAAAAAGAGAAACACCAATACAGTGTATTAACACATATGTATGGAATTTGGAAAGATGGTAATGACGATCCTACATGCCAGGCAGTAAAAGAAACACAGATGTAAAGAACAGGCTTTTGGACTATGTGGGAGAAGGCAAGGGTGGATGACTTGAGAGAAGAGCATTGAAACATATATATTATCATATGTAAAGTAGATGACCAGTGCAAGTTCAATGCGTGAAGCAGGGCATTCAAAGCCAGTGCTCTGGGACAACCCAGAGGGATGGGATGGGGAGGAAGGTGGGAGCGGGGTTCAGGATGGGGAGACACATGTGCACCCATGGGCGATTCATGTCGCATGGCAAAAACCACCACAATATTGTAAAGAAATTATCCTCCAATTAAAATAAATATAATAATTTTTTAAAAGATATATCATTTTGAAGTTTCACAGTCATGGGAATAAAGCCGTGATTCTATAGCTTCTGGAGAGAAACAAAACAAGTCACATGTGCAGAATCAGAAAGGCTTCAGGCTTCAACAGCAAGCCTGGAAATTTCCAAATTTCTACTGACAATGGGGCCATTTCCTCAAGAAGTTAGCCAGAGTTCCCATCTGTGAAAGTGTTAGCTGCTCAGTCGTGTCCAGCTCTTTGCAACCCCAGGGACTACACACGGCTCCTCTGTCCATGGAATTCCTAAGGCAAGAATACTGGAGTGGGTTGCCACTCCCTTCTCCTGGGGAACCTCCTGATCCAGGCATCGAACCCAGGTGTCCTGAATTGCAGGCAGATTCTTTACCGTCTGAGCCACCAGGGAAGCCCCCTGTTTTCCTTAAACGACCACTTAAAAGCAGCAAGAACTGTAACATCTGGGAATGCAGAGGTGCCTGTGAATCAGCGACCAGCCATGAGGCTACACAGAAGCCATTCTGGATAGGAATTCTAATCTTCACTCATACCACTCTTGGTCCACATTAACTCATGGTAACTGTTATGTGAACCTCATGTCTAGCATTCCCAAACTTCTGGGAGTATCTCTCCTTCCTAAGCCAGAACATCTCTCTCTCTCATCCACCCACTGCTTCCTGCTTCTACTGTGCTACATGCTTCCGCTGCCACAGACAACCTGAGGAGTGTGGGCTGTCTTCCTCTGGGTGGCCTTTTCCTATTTCCTGTCCTAGGAATCTGGTTCCGAGCCTCTCTTGTCTACTATATATGTCCCAGAAGTCCAGAAACCCTTCGTCTGGAAGGTCCAAAGAGAATGGGGGAGAGGGAGACAAGGCTTAGTGAGGGATTTCTACAGAGCCATTTCCCCAATCAACAATTAGTTGTAAATCTTTTTTTTTTTAGAAAGAATAAGTTCATTGTTTACTGTTCCATTCACATAAACAGCCTCAGGTGTCTTGTGGGATAACACACCTACATGGAGGAATGTATGCTTGTGCATGTATATTTATGGCATGTGAGATCTTAGTTCCCTGACCAGTGATGAAACCCATGCCCCCTGCATTGGGAGAGCAGAGTCTTAACCACCTGCTGATGCTCCTCCTTCCAAAAAGTCTATATTACTAGTCTGTAAAGACTCATGCTCTATAGTTTTATTTGGTTCTTCATGGAAACTAAAGATCTCCTTTTTGCTTAACAAACTTAGCTTCTAGCCTTACTGAAGCCCCGTGGTTCTTCATGGAAAGTAAAGATCTCCTTTTTGCTTAACAAACTTAGCTTCTAGCCTTACTGAAGCCCCCATTTGCTTTTTTTTGTTTTAAAGAATTTTGAATATGGAGTCAGTAAGTGGGAGATAGAGGTGTTTCTGAATTCTCATGTGCATGACACAGACAGTCACTATGGGGATTGCAATAGATTATAGACAATGCCCTTCCTTTTAGAAGACTATAATCAGAAACTTTTTCCCCTAAAAATTGAATTTTGGGGGCTTTGGGGCTTCCAGGTGGCTCAGTGATAAAGAATCTGCATGCAAATGCAGGAACTGTGGGTTCAATCCCTGAGTTAGAAAGATCCCCTGGAGTAGGAAATGGCAATCCACTCCAGTGTTCTTGCCTGGAAAATTCCATCAACAGAGGAACCTAGCGGGCTACAGCCCATGGGGTTGCAAATAGTCTGACACGACTGAGCACACATGAACTGCACCCTGAGCCACTTTATTCTAATAAAAATCTCTGGGTTGCAACTGTATTTTGTTGCTATTGGTATAGATTTAGACTATAATTAAGTGGAAATTTACCTTCAATGTATTCAACAATGAGCTCTAAATTAACTTTCAGTTCCATAGCAGTTGGATCAAAGTCACAAATATATTCGACTAACTGTTGGTTTACGTACTGTAAACAAAGAACAAAAATCATGGAATCATCAAGTGGAAGTAGAGTGCCTGATTCCTCAGTTTACAGAGTTCCATTTATACACACTTTGAAACAGGCAAAATCAATCTACGGTGTTAGACATCAGGATTCTGGTTACCCTTGGTGGTGTGAGAGAGAGTGTGTGTGTGTGTGTGTGTGTGTGTGTGTGTGTATGAGGCTGGTGATGGGGGAGGGTAAAAAGGAAGGCTTTGGGGATGCTACTCATGTTCTGTTCCTTGTTCTAGGTGCCTCTTACATTCATTGTGTAAAAATTTTTGAATTGTGTATCAAGGATTTGTGCAATTAAGATTTGTATATCTAAACTCATGTAGGTTATTCTTCAATAAAGAGGTTTTGTTGTTTTTTTTTTTAATGAAACTTACCAGTTTACAGCGATCCCAACTTTCTAAGTCACTTGATTGCAGTTTTGGATGAAAGAACACGATAATCGCTTTCAGGATGTCTTGTACTAATTTTATGTTGGCTTTCAGATCCTGGGACTGGCTGTCTGGTGGGGCTTCGTCCTCTGCCACAGGGTCATAATCGTACAGTAACAGCGACACGAAGTCTGAGGATGTAAGCAGCCCGAGGCACTCCTGTAGCTCCCCTAGCATGACTCTGAAGAAGAGAACGCCTGCCCGCTGGACTTCTCCCTCATTTTCAATCTCTGGAACAACAGAAGGACATCCCACATGGCTGTTCAGAACACATATTACTTTTTCACGGGATTCTGAACGTAATATAGCAAATCTTTGTTTTCTTTTTAGGAAAAAAAGACTATATCCTATATCGTTAAACAATCTTAGTTTCTCTAGTCATGAAATCAAAAGGCAAAAATGGAATCACACCTGTGGGGTTCACAGGCAGAGGCTTTGAGAGAAGGTGAAACCTTTATTTGGAGTTGGACCTTGGTTTGAAACCTACTTTCACCCTTATTAGTTCAGTTGTCTCTCTGAGCCGTCTTTTCATTTTCTGTGAGAAGAGTTGATCCTTACTTTCCCATTGAGCTGTGGAAATTAACAGGAGATGGTATATGGAAAAGTGCTTAGTCCCAGGTCTTACACATAGTGGATGCTCAAAAGATATGAATTTTCCTTTCTTTTTCCTTTTTTTTCCCACACTGTGTAATGGCTAGAAGTCTTTCAGCTTTATCCAACAGTGTTACTCTACTAATTCTATTTATTCCAATCTTGGTAGTGAAAGATTTCCATGCTTTCTTCTTCCCTCCCTTCTGCCTACACTGATTTTGTGGTAAGAGTAGCTGGGTGGAGGTGGAATCGCAAAAACTGGGGTCTGTTCTTGGCTCTGCTGTAGCTTGCTCTTAGACCTTTACTTTGACAGGCCTTAGCTCCTTTTTCTGTAAAATGAAATGTTCCTGTGAGTTAATGCTGTGAGGGCTTCCCAAGTGGCCCAGTGCTAAAGAATCCACTTGCCTTTCAGGAGCCACAGGTTCCCTGGGTTGGGAAGATCCCCTGGAGGAGGAAATGGCAACCCACTCCACTGTTCTTGCCAGCATAATTCCATGGACAGAGCAGGTTGGGATCACAAAAGAGTCAGACACAACTGAGCATGCAAGCACATTGTGGTGGAAAGAGCACCCAAACTGGGGTGCAAATCCAGCCTTTACCACTTGTTAACTGTGTGATTTGGCACAAGTGGTTTTGTTTCTCTGAACTCTACTTCCCTTGACTGTAAAATGAAATAATCATTATTAACCTCCTAGAGTTATGGTAAGGACTAATTGAAATACCATATTTAAAATGCTTGACACATGATGTGGCATTTAATAAATGCTACTTCTATACTGCCTTTATGAGTCCTTCAGTTCTAAAACCATGACTCTAGGCAAGAAAATGTGATTCCTTACCCTTTGCTCTAATGTATAGGCCAGACTAATCAGTCCAAGATTGCATGAAGGAAATCCTTCCATGTGGAAAGATCTGTATTTTGCAACAATTCATTTTAGAAAATGTATCCTTCATTGTATTGTCTGATTTCCCCTACACTTATTAAATCTATGAATTCAGACAGTTGCCGCATTCACAATACCTAGGATGTAGTTTTTCTTTATTTCTCCAGATAATTCGCCCAGTATTTCACTGCAGGCAAGCTGGATCACCTTCAGCATTTTCTGTAGGTCTTTAAACTCTCGATACAACAACATCTTCCTCTTGCCAATGTTAACATCGAGAACTCCCAAAGCTTCTCCTGTTCTCTCACGAAGTGGAACTACGATGTGGTTTTCTCCACAGACAGAGGCCAAGACAACTTCTGAGCTGTCTGTGCACTTAAAGAGGAAATCTCTGAAACCAAAACCAAATAAACATAAGGAGGGTATAAAATAAAAACCTGTTCACAACATTCTGCCCAAACACACTGAATCACCTCCTCTTGTATACTGGAGCCACACCAGCCCTTTTGCTATTTCATCTGCCTGACACATTCCACCCCTTAAGTTCTCATGGCTCAGCTCCCTCAGCTCCTCACAGAGAAGCCCTCCCTGAGCCCAGTGATCTAAAGTAGCTGCACCAGAGTCGGACTCCATCCAGTTCAGTTCAGTCGCTCAGTCATGTCCAATTCTTTGCGACCCCATGGACCGCAGCACGCCAGTCTTCCCTGTCCATCACCAACTCCCAGAGTTGACTCAAACTCATGTCCATTGAGTCGGTGCCATCCAACCATCTCATCCTCTGTTGTCCCCTTCTCTTCCTGCCTTCAGTCTTTCCCAGCATCAGAGTTTTTTCAAGTGAATCAGCTCTTCACATCAGGTGGCCAAAGTATTGGAGTTTCAGCCTCAACATCAGTCCTTCCAATGAACACTAAAGACTGATTTCCTTTAGGATGGACTGGTTGGATCTCCTTGCAGTCCAAGGGACTCTCTAGAGTCTTTTCCAACACTACAGTTCAAAAGCATCAAGTCTTCAGTGCTCAGCTTTCTTTATAGTCCAACTCTCACCTCCATACATGACTACTGGAAAAACCATAGCCTTGACTAGACGGACCTTTGTTGGCAAAATAATGTCTCTGCTTTTTAACTTGTACTTTTTTTTAATTTTTATTTTTGGAAGGACAAACTATTAAAAGTAAAACAAATGAAATCATGTGAGATCAAGATACAAAGACAGAAATTCCATATAGAAAAAAGGACCTTGCTGGGAGACCATCGGTGAGAAACATGGGAAACATCTCGCAGACACACAAGAAGCTCACACTGTAGAGAGGACTGAGCTGCCGGGGGCTCCTCATCACATCAGGGCTTCATTTTGCTCAGCCTGAGATCTCGCTCGATTTCAAACTGCCTGTGATCCACTCGGTCTAGAAAAGCTTTTCGTTCGATGTACCCCTCCTTCCCTCGGTTGTGGATGGCTAGCTCCTCGCCAATGCCCTCTTCCTCCTTGAAGCTCTCCCAGTCCAGCTTGGACTTCTCTAGGGTGCTCATCTTCTCCTTCTTGGCTCCGATTTTCCCCAAAAGGCTGCTCATGCCACTTGATCTTTTTAACCCTGACCCGGCAGGAAGTGACGGCACAGATGAAGGAATGTTAGGCTGGGGTTTTTCTTTCTTGTTTTGCTTGAAGAAGGATTTGGCTTCTTTAGATGTGGCATCCCCTTCCTTAATCACCCTGACTTCTTCACCAGCAAAATCAAACACCTTTGTAATTTTAACTTTGTCTGTTTCTTGAGGTTTCTCTAGCTTTTCTGCTTTGACCAAATGACTTGAACTTGTCTCTTCAGTCTCCTCTCCTGTTTTAACATGTGTACTTGGGGGCACTTTTGATTTCGGGTCTACATCATTCAGGAAGCTGGTCCATAGTTCATGCTCCTTCTTTTTCCTGGCATCCTCTGACTCAATGCCTTTTTCCTGCCCTGTTACTGCATCTTCCTCCTCACTACTACTTCCTCCAGATTCCTTTTCGGCCTCTTCTTCTAGTGAGAGGCCACCTTGTTTTCTCTTCCTGGCCAGAACGCTCTCAGCCTTTCTTTTTGTCCCTTTGGTTTTCTGTGTCTCCTCTTCACCATCCACTTCATCTTCCTTCACTAATTCATTTATATCATCTTCACTATACTCTCCACCCGAGGGCACGTAGTCCTCGTCCTCCTCGGGGGTGGAGAAGTCTTCAGAGTCGAATTCCTCCATGTCGCTACCGCGCAGGGTCTACAGGCGTGAAGCAGCTGTGCCCAAAGGCAAAGCTCTAGGGATAGAGCGTAGTGGTGAGAGACAGGAGGCGGTGGCTGGGGAGGAACCCCGCCTGCTTTTTAATATGCTGTCTAGGTTGGTCATAGCTTTTCTTCCAAGGAGCAAACATCTTTTAATTTCTTGGCTGCAGTCACCATCTGCAGTGATTTTGGAGCCCTCAAACAGAGTCTGCCACTGTTTCCCCATCTATTTGCTATGAATTGATGGGACCAGATGCCATGATCTTAGTGTTCTGAATGTTGAGCTTTAAGCCAAGTTTTCCACTTTGCTCTTTCACTTTAATCAAGAGGCTCTTTAGTTCTTCTTCACTTTCTGCCATATGGGTGGTGTCATCTGCATATCTGAGGTTATTGATATTCCTCCCGGCAATCTTGATTCCAGCTTGTGCTTCATCTAGCCCAGCGTTTCTCATGATGTACTCTGCATATAAGTTAAATAAACAGGGTGACAATATACAGCCTTGACGTACCCCTTTTCCTATTTGGAACCAGTCTGTTGTTCCATGTCCATCCACTTTGCCTTATTTTTAAATTTTTATTTATTTGGCTGCGCCGGGTTTTAGTTGCAGCATGCCGGATCCAGTTCCCTGACCAGGGAACGAACCTGGGCCCTCTGCATTGAGAGTGCTGAGTCTTAGCCACTGGATCTCCAAGGAAGTCCAATTCTGCCTTACTGTCTTTACTATAGACTTGTCCTTCACTGAGGGTATTCATTTTTTGTTTACGTATTGTCCAATAAGTCTTGGTTGAATGCCCAAAGAAGGATGAATGTGTTGGGTCAGGTTCACTAGAAGCAGAGCCTGAGAAAGGGATGCTCTGTGCGAATTAGTCACTGAGGGAGAAACCTGTGAAGGTCTGAGGCAAACAGGATGGTGAAGCGGGAGATGCCAAGGGATTTCCTTGGTGGTCCAGGGGCTAAGACTGCACTCCCATTGCAGGGGGCCTGGTTCAAGCCCGCATCACGGAACTAGATCCTGCATGACAGTGACTAAGAGTTTGCATGCCACAACTAAGACCGGGTGCAGCCAAATAAATAAATATTTTTAAAAGTGTGATTTCAGGTGAAGTTTATCCTCAGCCTGATCCCAAAAGGAGGTTTGGAAGGCAAATTGCACCCACCCTCTGCCCCACCTTGAAGCAGGAGAGAGGTCTTTTGTCCTTCATTAGAGCTCTAAGCAGAAACAGATACATCTTGACTTAACAGTTGAGTTACCACTGACTATCTGTGAGTCAGTACAGAATGTTAAGAATAGCCAGCTGTCTCCCACCATTAGTAGCTAAAAATACAGACTCATGGATGTAGAAATGAGTCAAGCAGAGTTCCCCACGGACCATAACATAGTTCATGTCTTCTATAAATATTACTCATTAAGAGGCTGCCCAAAAGGCTCAATGGTAAAGAACCTGACTGCCAATACAGGAGATGCAGACAAGCCTTCGAACCCTAGATTGGAAAGATCACCTGGAGAAGGGAATGGCTACCCACTCCAACATTCTTGCCTGGAGAATCCCATAGACAGAGTAGCCTGGTAGGCTAGAGTCCATAGGGCCGCAAAACAGCACCTATTTCAGTGAGGGACCTGAGGTTTTCATAGAAATGTAGCAGCTCCTTCTTTCCCTTGGGAAGTATAAACACTCCTTTTATCTCTTTCCCTCTCTCCCCATCTACATGATATTGAGATGTCATTCCTTTTAGGTACCTGTAAAAACGCCGGTGCTTAGCACAGCCTCAGAAAAAACACATTTAGGGAATTTCCTAGTGATTCAGTGGCTAGGACTCTGTGCTTCCACGGCAAGGGGCATGGGTTCAATCTCTGGTTGGGAAACTAAGATCCTTCATGCTGTGGGTATGGCCAAAAAAGCACATTTATAGTTCATAACACCAGTCCTGTCATGATAGAAAGGTTATGCCCTTGTTTTGCTGCTCCTACCCCCTGCTGCAGCTGAGCCATGTCTTCATGATAGCCATAGTAGTGAGCATCATGCCAAGCTTCCTTGGTCAACAGAGTTCCTCAAAAGGCACCTGCTCTAAGTTAATCACAGGAATCCAAGGTTGTAAGTCTGGGTGTTAGAAGGACTCTTGTAAAACTCTTAACCAGCACAAGGAATAACTATATGGAAAGGAGCTTAAAACTGAGTGAACATTCTGGTATGAGGCCAAACTGAAATTGAATTAACATAGGTACTTAAATGTCAAATTGCCTACTAGCCTGATAGGTTACTACCCATTCAACTATGCTGACCCTCTAAGAAGCAGTGTATTCTAGTTAAGCAGGTGTATGCTAGTTAAGATCTGTTTTTGCAGTAGTTTAATAGCGTTCTTTGCATTTCACACATGAGAGGCATTCAAGGTCATCTAGAACTGGGTACTTCTTAAAGGCAATATTCTCTGCCTCCTCCCCATCTTTGCCCCAGCCTGTCTTCCTTAAGTTAAAAAAAAAAAAAGTCCACAGGCTAGCTAACATTAAGAGGATGAGCTCTGAATAGTGATGTGGGTATATTTTTCATAGCCATGGTGGGTTTTTGTTAATTCCATGTTAATAAGAAAATTATAAAAAATAAAACACTAAATTGAAATCTGTTTTAAAAAGAACTTAAGGGGGAAAGGACCCAGGCAGACAAAGGTCTACAGTAATTTTCCTTTATAACCCAATCAAAATGAGAGCCATTATATTCATAAGAAGCAGAAGCCGGCAGTCAAACAGAACAGGCGGTGAGGTATGTCCCATACCTGAAGATGCATGTCTTCCTAAAGATGACAGAGGGATTCTTGTGGATTTCTGTTAGACCCTGCGCCCCTGTGACCATCATATTTCGTAAAACATAGTCTGAATCCTTGAAAAGAGGTAGAAATTTCATTACAGAGAGGAGCGATTAAACTTCATGCACTCGTTGAGACTTTTGGGGACAAATAAATAGAAAAAAATTAGAAAAGCTTAGGCAATATAAAATGTTTTTCAAGTTATAGGTCAAGATCAATATAATATTGAGCCACAATGATGCCAAACACTTGGAAGGCTTCTAGGTTTGGGCCTCAGGAATTTTTTTCCCTAGACTAATTCATCCTATTGGTCATCCCAACCAGTCCCATGGTTTATGTTTTGTTTTGGGTTGTTTTGGTAAAACATACACAGCATAATATTATTATTTTTGCCATTCATAAGAGTGCAATTCAGTGGGATTAAAGACATTCACAATGTTGTATAACCAGTCAAATGGTTTTAAATATAATTTACTTACCAGCCTGGATTTCCCCCAAACACTAAGCTCATATATCCAATTGCCTATTCAATATCTCCACTTAGATATCTAACAGACATTTCAAATTACAGTTTAAAAAATGGTTTTCAATTTAGTAGGTGAGAAATTATCTTTTACTTAAATTTGTATTTCATTACAAGAACAACTGAACATTTTTCCTATGTTTATTGACCATTTGCATGAGTTTTTTTTAAAAATAAAATCGTGTTTTGATTATTTTTCTTTTGGATTTTCAAAATCCCACTAATTTTTATATAACACTGCTATTTTCTGCCAGATATATGACAATTAATTGTGTTTTTAACTTTGATGCAAGAAAGTTTTACATTTTTTTTAAGCTTAACTTTTATTTTTAATTTTTATACAATTTTTACCATTATTACAACATGTTGGCTATATTTCTTGTGTGTACAACACATCCTTGAGCCTATTTTATGCCAATAGTTTGGGCCTCCCCCCACCACTACCTTGTTTGTTTGTTTGTTTTAGTGGGTTTTGTCATACATTGACATGAATCAGCCAAGTTTTACATTTTTATGTCATCAATGTATCAACTTCACTTTAATCACTTCAACCTTTGAGATTCAGCCATCCTTCCGCAGACTACGGTTGTAAATTCCCCCCATCCTTCATTTTCTTAGCTATTCTCATGCATTTATTCTTCCTCCATATGAAGATTAAATCATTTAGCCAATTTAAAAAAATATGCTGAATTTTTCTTGCAATTTTGTTAAACTTAAAAATAACTTTGGTAAAAAATTGGATTTTTTAAAAAGTTATATTTATGGTGAGCTGCTTTTACTCTTAGCCTGAAGGTGGTGATGGTAGTCAGTCACTCAGTCATGTCTGACTCTTTGCGACCCCATAGACTGTAGCCCACCAGTCTCCTCCGTCCAGGGGATTATCCAGGCAAGAACACTAGAGTGGCTTGCTATTTCCTTCTACAGGGACTCTTCCTGACCCAGGGATCAAACCAGCTTCTCCTGCTTGACAGGGAGATTCTTTACCACTGAGCCACCTGGAAGCCCAAAGAGGTAAGGAGAGGAAGCAATTACCAGAGCCTGGAGAAGACAGCCAAGTCGAGAGGACTGTGTGCCTAAAAGTAGAGTGGTCCTTTTTCTTTTTAATCCCCAACTTTTATTTTTGACCTCCCCATTCTCTCAGTATCAAATTACTTTCTTCTTAAATTAAAGACTGTATACTGAATACGTTTAAAACACAGCTGAGTGCTGTCTTTCTCTAACAGGTAAACATTTTTAACAGTAAATTTGAAATGTGTGTGGTCCAAAGAAGAAGGATAAAGAAAAAGAACAGATTATGATCTCTTATTTCCCATTAACATAAGATTAACATAAGATTTCATATATTGAGGGCATGGAGCCCTCTTCAAGCAGACATTCTGAGCAGGACTATTGTTCAAAAAATATTAAAAAAGAGACTGTATTAGCAGTTTTCATAACCCACAGAGATCACTGGACTTCTTGTCTCTTGAACAGAGACCTGGGGGCCAGGAACTCTTCTTGCCACACCGAGCCCAAGGGATGGCCCTTCATTCTATTCGAACAGTGGCCTTTTGTTGAAGAACACAGCTAACCCAAAGCAACCTAGAGAGGGAGAGCCAAAAGCATAAATACCCCAACCTCACTCTCCTTCTGCCTGCCAGTCTCCTACTGGTGACTTTCACTGGACAAACCCAAGCAGAAGCTACCTTCTCTGAGTTGGGTTCAGCAAAGTACGTAGAGATGGCAGTGATGCTGGGTGTGATGTTGTAAAGCCAGCCGATGCCAGTGATCACAATATGAAGGATGTGCTCCCGGCTGTGGACGTAGTGATAGGCAGCACTAAAGACATTGGCAACACCCTGTAGAGACAGAAATTTAAATTGCCTTTTCTTTTAAAAATTGCAAAATAATTAGTAATGCATCAATTGGATTATCTTTTTTAAATTTTATTTTTGCTTATTTGGTGGCATCAAATCTTAATAGTTGCGCACATGGGCTCTTCATTGTGGTGTGTGGGCTTATTTGCAATCTGGCATGTGCGATCTTAGTTCCCTGACCAGGGATCAAACCTTGGAAGGCAGATTCTTAACCACTGTACCATCCGAGAGAGTCCCCTGAATTATCTTTTTAATTAATGATCATCTGTTGTTACTCTTGTTGTTGTTTAATCGCTCAGTTGTGTCCGACTCTGTAACACCATGGGCTGTAGCCCACCAGACTCCTCTGTCCAAGGGATTTTCCAGGCAAGAATACTGGAGTGGGATGCCATTTCCTCCTCCAGGAGATCTTGCAGACCCATTGATCAAACCTACAACTCCTGTATTGGCAGGCAGATTCTTTATCACTGGGAATTCTTTATCACAGCCACCAGGGAAGCCCGATAATCACCTACTTACTAAAAATTATTCATTGGTTCTCAAAAGGCATTGCAAAAGTGTTCGAAAAAGTGTTCTCACAGGTTCCACTATGAAAAAGTGAGACCAAAAGAGTCAACAGAGATCTACCGGAAAATCCGTCTAACTTATTATGTTTGCTGATAATCATCCAGTGAAATCAGTGGTATATACTACCAGAAAGCAGTGTCATAAGAACAAAGTAAACTTTGAAATGAGGGGAAAAAAAAAAGTTTAAAAGCCAAGAACTAATGCCAGTCTTGGACAGATGGGTAAGAACTGCCCCAATCTGATACAAGATTAATGTCTGCGTGTTTACATGGCTACTGTCATCAGATCAGCTGTGCAGGTATGCTGGGTTCCCAGGCCTGCAGTATCCTAGATTATACGGTTTTCTTTGACATATAAAGAGAGCCTGTTCCACAGAGAAAGGATTGGAAACCCTTAGGACCCATCCATGGTCTTGTTGTCAAGAAACCCTAGGATGGGACTTCCCTGGTGGTCCAGTGGTTAAGATTTCACCTTCCAATGAGGAAGGTATGGGGTCAATCCTCATTGAGGAGCAAAGATTTCACATGCCTCTTGGCCAAGGAACCAAAGCATAGGAAGCACATTCAATAAAGGCTAAAAAATGGTCACATCAAGGAAAACTCTAGGAGGAACCACAAATTCTTCAAAAATATCTGCATTTTATATTATGACCCAAGGCATCTAAGAGTAACTCAAAAGCCTTTACCTCCAAGGGCCAGGAGGTCAATTTAGAATTCACTTTGATATGTTCTCTAAAAAGACCATATATAGTTCACCTAATGATAATTTGGAGTATCATTCACCATACTCTTCCACTTTGCATCTTAATATCTTCACATCATCCTTATGTCAGAAGAGAATGAAACTTATTATTAAAAAGATGTCCAGGGGAAAAGATTATACCACTTCCTCAGTTGTACATCCAGTAAATGAGTGGGAGAAAAATTTAAATAATGGTAAATAAACATCAAGAGCATCCAGGGGAACAAATGATAGCAACTTCCTGATTGCTGCTACATCCCAGTCCAATGCCTCCATAGGGTTTTCAATCTTCCTTCACTGAAATTTTTATCCATAAAATTAAATTAAAAAAAATTTTTTTTCTCTTTGGCTGCACTGTGTGGCCTGTGGGATTTTAGTTCCCCAACCAAGGACTAAACCCATGCTTCCTGCTATGGAAGTGTGGAGTCTTAACCACTGGACCACCAAGAAAGTCCTAAAATTAAATTTAAATGCTTGTACAAATGGTCTAGTTATTTTATAATCTTAAAAGTGCTTTCCAGGGACTTCCCTAATGGTCCAGGGGCTAAGACTCTGCACTCCCCATGCATGGGGCCTGGGTTTGATCTTTGGTCAGGGAACTAGATCCCATGTGCCACAACTAAAGATCCTACATGCTGCAACTAAGACCTGGCACAGCCAAATAAATAATAAAATAAATAAATATATATATTTTTTAAAAAGTGCCTTTCCTTTTTTTAGTTTCTTTTGTTTAATTTTATTTTCATTTAGCAGATAGTGTAAGATACTTAAACACCATCTTCAAACAAGGAACCTAATTTCAAAAACCTATTTTATTTATTTATTTAGTTATCTTAATACTTATTCATTTATTTGACTGCCTCGGGTCTTAGTTGCTGCCCAAGGGATCTTCATTGATGTCATGCAGGATCTTTGGTTGTGGCCTGTGGCTCCCAGGCTTAGTTGTGCCTCAGCAAGTGGGATCTTAGTTCCCCAACCAGATATCAAACCCATGACCCCTGCATTGGCAGGCAGATTCTTTACCACTGAACCACCAGGGAAGTCCCCCTTGAACCTATTTTAATATTGGGGGATTCCTGGGTGGCTCAGTGGTAAAGAATCCTCGTGCCAATGCAGGAGACACAAGCTCAATCCCTGGGTCAGGAAGAGCCTCTGGAGGAAGAAATGGCAACCCACTCCAGTATTATTCTTGCCTGGAAAGCCCATGGACAGAGGAGCCTGATGGGCTACATTCCATGGGGTTGCAAAGAGTGGAACACAATTGAGTGACTGGGCAGTCTTGAAATAAAACTCCACTAATAACCCAGAGTAAAACCACACGTTAACCTTGATAGAAAGATTTTTATTTTTATTTATTTTTGCTGTTGTTCAACAGTAAGCATCATGAGCTTTATTTTCTATTAAGTTTAAGCTAATATAATATTTTAAAGAAGAAATACTGGATAATCACCAATTTTACCAAAGAAGCCACAGCATTACAGGTCATGAAAAAGTGCCACTCCCTTTTTGAGATCTAATTTGAAAACATGAATATTTGAGAAACATTTAGGCCTTTCCTTCATTCTTCATCCTCAAAAATTATAACACTAAAATCAAGAACTATGGTAAGGTGCGGGGAGCCAGCCTGACTGCTCAGGCTCCTTCTTGGCTCTGAGAGAGATCAAGAGGTCCCTCTCTGTCCCGCCACCCCTGATTTATTAAAGCACAGGTTGGCCTTTCTCACCTCCCTCAAGGAAATTGCTGTAGCAATCTTTCACCTGTTGCTGATAAACTCATGATTGGAGCCTGTTTTCTATCCAGTTAATGTTCTATTGATTTCAGTTGGGTGCTAAGGTGATGCTTTACTGTCCTTAACTGGAGGAATTGAAAACATCTGTGCCTGTAGCTCTGCACATATGCAAACCTTTAATCTATTAGCAACTCCTGTTAGCATATATATAGGTGTGGTATTCTTCAATAAAGTTGGCAGAGTCAGACGCAAGCTGACTCTGTCCCTCTCAACCCCATTTTTCTAAGTCTGTCTAAGTCTTTCTAAGTCTGTCTAAGTCTTATTTTTCTCAGGTACTCTGGTAATTGCGTTCTCGACCAGTTCGTTTGCCGGCAGGCTCCGGCAGTAAGGCATATTATATTTAGCACCATTTGTGTAAAGAGCAAAGGATTTCCAGGTACCACTATAAATAAAACATAAGTATGTCTCTTCTAAAAATTCATTCCTACTTTTTGGGTTTTAGTTAGTAGTCTAATAGTTGGATTTCAGTTCTATAGCAGAAAATGCTGTTTGTACAATTAATACCATGGGACACATATTAACAAGCTTCCCAGACAATCTGAGGCATAGATATGCAACTGAGTCTGAGTCCCTCCATGTGTAATAGGGAACCTCTTCAAAGACTGACACATGTATGATGACACCATTTATATATATAGCTTTACTCTCATCTGGTTTCAGGTTTTACTTTTTCAAAAAGTATAGGAGAGGCTATCCTACCATTGATCTTGAAGAACTTTTCTATGTCGTACCTGATAGAATCTGATCTCATGGGGTAGGAAGATGTTAATTTTCTGGGGATCTCTTAGAGTGTCAACAGCCAAGACCCCAAATATCCTCATATATGCGTCCTGAAGGGGCAGAGCCAGGAATGACCCACTGTGATCGCTCTTCTTGCGGGAATGGTTCCAGAAGTAGACGTTCCCATGGTGCTGAACTTGGGGGACGTGTATTGGCTTCCCTTCATCCACTACTGTAAAGCTGAGGAACAGGGATATGAGAAAAGGAGAAAGGTACAGAAGAGGGCTTTAGATTAAACCATTCAGGACACTAGATCAATCCATCCATAATCATTAGTATTATATGTCAGAGAAGTGGACTCAGATAAAATTACCAGTTTGGAGAGTCTGACTTGAGAGAAATATTTTTTAAAATAAGCTTAATAGTGTGTATATCGAAAACAAGAAAGACTGTACAGAAAAAAATGAGGATAGATGAGCCAGATACAGTCAGATTAGGGGGACACAATGGAAAGGGCTAGAAATTAAGAGTGATTATGTTGTTATAATGGCTGTAATACGAATCCAGCTGCATTTGATTTGGCACTATAAGTGTTATTGGCGAAAGATTGTTACAAAGAGATACAATGTCAATAAAAGTTGATATAGAGTTCTTACACTATGACAGGCAAAAAAAAATAAGCTTAGATCATAACAGGGAAACATACATAAACAAGATGTATTGTTTAGTTGTTAAGTCATGTCCTACTCTTTTGCAACCCCATCGTGGGTAGCCTACTAGGCTCCTCTGTCCATAGAATTTCCCAGGCAAGAATGCTGGAGTGGGTTGCCATTTCCTTCTCCAGGGGATCCTCCTGACCCAAGAATGGAACCCAAGTCTCCTGCATTGGCAGGCAGATTCTTTACCACTGGGCTACCAGGGAAGCCCATTTAAACAGGATGTGGAGACATAATTTGATTTTATTTTTTGGGGCTCCAAAATCACTGCAGATGGTGACTGCAGCCATGAAATAAAAAGACACTTACTCCTTGGAAGAAAAGTTATGACCAACCTAGACAGCATATTAAAAAAGCAGAGACATTACTTCACCAACAAAGGTCTGTCTAGTCAAGGCTATGGTTTTTCCAGTAGTCATGTATGGAGGTGAGAGCTGGACTATAAAGAAAGTTGAGCACTGAAGAATTGATGCTTTTAAACGGTGGTGTTGGAAAAGACTCTTGAGAGTCCCTTGGACTGCAAGGAGATCCATCCAGCCCATCCTAAAGGAAATCAATCTTTAGTGTTCATTGGATGCACTGATGTTGAGGCTGAAACTCCAATACTTTGGCCACCTGATGAGAAGAACTGACTTATTTGAAAAGACCCTGACGCTGGCAAAGATTGAAGGTGGGAGGAGAAGGGGACAACAGAGGATGAGATGGTTGGATGGCATCACCAACTCAATGGACATGAGTTTGAGTCAACTCTGGGAGCTGGTGATGGACAAGGAGGCCTGGTATGCTGCAGTCCATGGAGTCGCAAAGAGTTGGACACGACTGAGACATTATTATGGAGACATAATTTACGGAGCAGGTACAAATAATTGAACTGATACTGTGAAGCAAAGTCCCTACATGAAAACCAATGCCCAAGAGCAAGCTCTAGAAAAAATCAGGTGAAATCACCCAAGACTGGAAACCTATCACCTCCTGCTTGAGAAACTTTGGTGACCTGAGGCATTTCTCTCTTGGGTAGCTAAATAGGAAGGATTTCAGGGCTACTTTACTTCACAAAAGGAATTTTTTTAAAAAGAAGGGGAAACCAATGTCTTTGGAAATTCTTACCTGATCCCCTTCATGTCCCTGTAGAGCACTTTTCTCAGAACAAACGGAGCATCGTCTAAAGTACAAGCTACATTCCTCAGTAGAACGTTCCCTCTATCGGGCAGAAGGAGGTTTTCTTCTAAGAGGGAAATGTGAGCACTGATCTTCTTATTTCCATGGGTTTCAGCATCCTGCGGCAAAATATTTCTGATCATTTATTTGCCAATTGCTATTCTGTTTGGCAATTTGCCAATTGCCAGAAAGCTATTCTCTTAATCATGTCTCCTTTCATGAGCCAATCTGACCCCAATAATTTCATTTCCCTGAGTAAATGATGCAGATATTACCATAAATAGACAGTGGGGGAAAGGCTAACACCGCAGCTGTTTCTGAAACCTGAGTTTTAGTGAGTAGAATATATTTACTTTATGCCAACCAGACTAGTTCTACTAAAAAAAATAAAAAATCTGTCAAGTCTACTTATATTTAGAGGTTTAAAACTTGGATCCCTTTGAACCATACTCATGTTGTATGGGCTTCAATTAGAAGTGCTTATTTTAGAGAGCTCAGGCAAGAAAGATGACTCATATTTCTTGACCATCCACTATGATGTGAATATGGGAAAATGTTCTCAAGAAATTCTTAACATAGTTTGGCTGTGACATTTGACTTACATCATTTCAGGAAAGGATTACTTAGGGCTCCAGATTGCAGACTATATGCAACTACTATTTCTTTTTCTTTTCAGCTGTACTGCACAGCATGTGGGATCCTAGTTCCCTGATCAGGGATCAAACCCATGCCCCTTGGAGTAGAAGCACAGAGTACTAACCAATCGATCTCCAGGGAAGTCCCACAACTACTATGTCTAGTTAAAATAACTGAAAATTCTATGTACCTAAAATATTATAACAATATTATGTGTTAACACGTATGCCAAATATGGATATAAATTGGGAACATGAGAGACACTTTCTCTGATATTTGTCTCCTCTTCCTATAAACTTGGGTTTGTTCTTTGTGCTTTTTTTTCCCCTTCTTGATTCCTCCTTTTCTACACAGAAAATCAATAGACTAATAAAAATGTAGTAGTAAGATGTCTCTATGGGTATGGCAGATTTCTGAAGCAAGTTGGAACAATAACTTTTTTGCTTTTTGGTTGAGTCCCCTGCAGTGGAAATGCAGTGTCTTAATCACTGCACTGCCAGGGAAATTCCAATATCTCTTTTTCTTGATTGGTCTACTGCTCCCGGTCTCATCATGTCCAATTGATATATTGGAAAATTAAGCCATTCAGGGGATGATTCCCATAATCATGTGTTGCTATTTAGCTGAGATGAATGACATAGTTTCCCTGGACCAATGGAAGCTGTGATACTTGTAGAAGACAGCCACGCTGTTCCTGCCTGGGAAAAGTAGGAAGCCTGAAGTGTCTGAGGAAGGCAGCAGAGCTGTGGGTGGTGGTTCATCCAGGTCATGTCTTTTAAGGGACAGGATTCTGCAGTAGTCTCAGCTTATTTCTAGGCAGTGCTATGAACTATTGTGTCACGTTGGATTCTACTTTATAATGACTTTATGATTTTAAAAATTCCTTTTATTTTTATTTTGAATTGGATGGTAATTGCTTTACAATGTTGCATTGGTTTCTGCTGTACAACAAGGTAAATCAGCCATAAGTATACACATGTATCCCCTCTGTCTGAAGCCTCCCTCCCACCACCCCCCAAATAGTTCCTTTTAAAACTGACTCCCAAAACAGCATGCAAGGGAAATATAGCTTAAACTGCTGGTACATCTCCTTACTGGTTTTTGGGTTTTTTTAATGTCAGTTTATTGCCTGTTATAGGTTTCTTTGACTCTTGGCACAAATGAAATTAGGAATTCCAAGACACAATTCTGTTTCTTATACCTTTCCTCTCTGCTTCTACCTTGCCAATCTGCAATCATTCCAGTTGCATCTTTACTAGGTTCGGGGTCATTGTAAAACATTGGAATGAGTAAAATATCTATAACAGAGATTTCTCAAGAGAATTTTGTGTGTTCCTCCTTTGCAACCATTGAACATCATCACCTGGGAGGAAATGTTTTTCTCTTATATGTCATTTTAGAAAGCACACCTGGGTGAGGGCCTTAAAGGTCTCGGTGTACACTGGTTCCAAGGACACACCACTTGTTTCTGCAGCACGCTGGATTTGGTGCAGCCACTTTTGTCTGGCACAATTCCTCAGACTTTCAACATGGCTCCTTTCTAAAGAGTTCATCAGAAACTCCACAACGCTTTCCAGAACTTCTTCTTCATTGCCCCTGAGTTCAGAGACAACCAATTCTATGTATTTCTGAAACTGTTTGGAAGACAACCTCACTTCGTGCCCAGGGTGTAGCTTTGGAAATTGGACATGCAGTTTAGCTAAAAGACAGAAACATAAAGCCAAAAACTAGTCAAAAGTTCATTCACCTGTGGGGGAAATTCGCATTCTTACAGCAAATCGAAGACTCTAACAACTGCTTCTCATGGTAAACCGGGTATATCAAAGGCATCTCCAATGGATGTCCAATAGAACATCTTACAGTGACTTCCTACGCTGAACTCAAGATGATTCCTATATCATCTATTTTTTTTAAAGTCAATTTATTTATTTTTAGTTGGAGGATAATTGCTTTACAGTACTGTGTTGGTTTCTGCCATGCAGCAACATGAATCAGCCATAGGTATACACATGTCCCCTCCCTCCTGAACCCCCCTCCCACCTCCCAGGCCATCCCACCCCTCTGGGTTGTCACAGAGCACTGGATCTGAACCCCCTGCATCATACAGCAAATTCCCACTGGCTGTATATTTTACATATGGTAATGTATATTGTTTCATTTTAATTCTACCTCTCAGCCAGGTGAAACCTTATAACATCATCCTCAGGTCCCCTAAATTCTAGCATTCATCGTGTCCAACTACTTTGTTTTACCCATGAGGACACATGGCTCTACGGAAGTTCAGTAATTTCTTCATGGTCATGTGATCACTTCAGTTCAGTTCAGTTGCACAGTCGTGTCCAACTCTTTGTGACCCCATGAATCGCAGCACACCAGGCCTCCCTGTCCATCACCAACTCCAAGAGTTTACCCAAACCTATGTCCATTGAGTCGATGATGCCATCCAACATCTCATCCTCTGTCATCCCCTTCTCCTCCTGCCCTCAATCTTTCCCAGCATCAGGGTCTTTTCCAATGAGTCAGCTCTTCGCATCAGGTGGCCAAAGTATTGGAGTTTCAGCTTCAACATCAGTCCTTCCAATGAACACCCAGGAC